CTGACGAAATGTGCTAGTGAAACAGGCGCCGACCCGCAAGCATACGAACGGATATGAACTTGTCTTGTACTACGTAGTACGATCTTTTAAGTGCGTCCGGAAATTCCACCAATCAATGCACGTGATAGTCACTTCAACTTCACAGCGAGCGTTTTCCGGATTTGGTAGCAATATGATATATTGAGGGGGCGAAGACCCCTCGAAACCCCTCGCATGACTGCGCAATTAAGGGGTCGGAGGTGAGCAATCAGCATGCCCAGTCCCAATGGCAAATGGGCCTTGGATGCCTTGGCCGGAGCCCAATTGGACGTGACGTGTGAAACAAACCAACAGGAATGCGGTATCCGCAATGCCGCTCCTACATGGAACCACCACTGGAACCTTAGAGGTCGAAACGGCATGCCAACGACGATGCAAGTCCCTCGCATCTATCCGCTTCGACCTTTTGTGTGGCGTGGTTCAATCTAAAGTGTTTGGAGTGGCTCATGTAAAGTTGCTCTAGCGCTTGCATGGGCAGTGCTTTGGCATCACGACGGGTGGTTGTGCATGACAGGGGACGCAGGTGCCGTCCAAATCTACCGCTTTTCACCAAGCTTCACGAATAGCGCGATGAATTGTCAGTGGAGTCGACCCAAATGCACGTTGAGCTTGAATGTGCAAAATGGATTGGGCAAAATTTAACCAATCAAATTGGTTTTGATCTGCAATTTCGAGGATACGTTTCCGGATAACGAGTCGATGTGGAATCTTCCTCTGTCACTTTGGTATTTTCGACGTGACCAACAACAACACACTCCAATCGCCATGCTCAGCCAACAGCGCGCCGTGACGAAGTTGCTTCGCCAAACACAAACTCGCTTCGCCAGCACGATCAAGAAGGTTCATGCGCGCGAGATCATCGACAGTCGTGGTAACCCTACTGTCGAAGTCGACTTAACTACAGAACAAGGACTGTTTCGCGCGTCCGTCCCATCGGGAGCTTCCACCGGGATCCACGAAGCCGTGGAGTTGCGCGACAGTGGCAAGCGCTACTTGGGCAAGGGTGTGATTCAAGCAGTGAACAACGTGAAGAACATTATTGGCCCCAAGTTGGAAGGCATGGACCCAACAAACCAAGTCGAAATTGACCACTTGATGAAAGAATTGGACGGTACTGAGAACAAGGGTAACCTTGGCGCGAACGCTATTTTGGGGGTGTCCCTTGCTGTCGCCAAGGCTGGTGCTCGTGCGAAGAGCATTCCGTTGTTCCAGCACTTTGCCGACTTGTCTGGCAATAACAAGCTCGTGCTCCCGGTGCCTTCTTTCAACGTGATCAACGGGGGATCACATGCGGGTAACCAATTGGCGTTCCAAGAGTTCATGATCTTGCCGACGGAGGCGGAATCGTTCTCGGAAGCCATGGCCATGGGTTGCGAAGTGTACCATCACTTGAAAGGTGTGATCAAGAAGAAGTACGGCCAAGATGCGACCAATGTCGGTGACGAAGGGGGATTTGCGCCCAACATCCAGAGCAACCATGAAGGCGTGGAACTGCTAATGCTCGCGATTGAAAAGGCGGGATACACGGGCAAGATTGGTATCGGCATGGATGTGGCGTCGTCCGAATTTTACACGGATAGCAAGCACTACGACTTGAATTTCAAGAACCCTGGCAGCAAGAAATCGCCGTTGACTGGTGCGCAATTGGGCCAACTCTACAAGGATTTGGCCAAGGAATTCCCTATCATCTCGATTGAAGACCCGTTCGACCAAGACGACTGGGAGCACTACAGTGCCTTCACAGGGGCGATCGGGACCGACGTGCAGATTGTCGGTGACGACTTGCTTTGCACGAACCCGACGCGCATTGCCAAGGCTGTAGGGTTAAAGGCGTGCAATGCGCTTCTCCTCAAGGTGAACCAAATTGGCAGCGTCAGCGAATCCATCCAAGCCGTCAACGACGCCAAGGCCGCGGGATGGGGCGTTATGGCCAGTCACCGTAGCGGGGAAACGGAAGACTCGTACATTGCGGACTTGGCGGTGGGCCTCAGTACTGGCCAGATCAAGACAGGAGCTCCATGCCGCTCGGAACGACTGGCCAAGTATAACCAACTGCTGCGCATCGAAGAAATGCTCGGGCGCAGTGCCATCTATGCCGGCAAACACTTCCGAAACCCCCAGAAAGCTTAATACGTGCAATATATGACAGATGGGGTGTGAATGTGGCGTATGGATTACATGGAAGAAAGAGCATTGATGTACAGCGTGTGCAGAAAGAGAAGCAGCGATCACGCGAAACAAGTAGATGTCAACGAAGGTGTCGACGTCGCTTCGAGTGCGTGTGACCACGAGTTTCCGAGTGGTCAGCAATACGTATACAACACGTCACACGGAGGATGTGGTGCCGTGTCACGATCCCACGCGGCGGGAGACTGGAGTGGAGAAGGTTCTTGTGGTAACCCCAGTGACATGTGGTGGGGCGCCCACACCATGCAGATTTCTTACTGCGGACACCCCTCGGACACCTCGGACATGTGAGATGCCGAGAAGAAGGGCTTCCAAGTGACCATCTTGCCGTTCAAGCTCCATTCTCCCGGTTGCAGTCATCCTTCTCCATTCGCCCATTCTGGTGGAAGGGACTTCCACGGAAGGATGGGGATGTGATTGGACAACTATTATCCGGACAGATCTTGACGAAAGGTCGCCGTGACGAAAATCGAAAGAACTTGCAAAACGGGGCGGTCCCGCAACGAGGACGATCGATGGTCGAAAAGCAGACACCGCCAGTGGGGACGAAGCCCCTCATGGTGTCCATGCGGGAGATGGATACGCTCGGATTGAAGACCGGGCCGGGGCTGAAGGACACCATCGACTTCAAAGAATTCGACAGGCAAACGATCCTGGACGAGATCGCCAAGGTCGGGTTCATGTGCCCGTTCCATGAACATCGAGCTGAAATCGCCAAGCTCGAGATTCCACAGCTACTTTTGGTCGCGGACCGAGATGAAGTGTACGGGGAAAACTGGCTCCTTTGTGTTCGCCAAGTAGGCTACGAAGGCCAAATGGCCGTGATCGCGCAGCGCCAAGCAGCAATTGAAGCAGCTATCGCCGAAAGCAAAAATGCAGCTAGTGCTGAAGACGAACTCCTTACAGTCGTTTACGAGGACAAACCCATCGTTCCAAGGCCATGGGACTCGACTTCTGCCGACGACTCGCACGAACAAGTCCGGCTCCTCACCATCCACCCGACCCGCGCCATCATCTCAATGTCGGTAACCCGCCGCGCAGAAGAGTTCAACGCAGACTACAAGTTCAGCGACCGCGATGCCGACCAATGTTTTGTCGAGTGTCGCCAACACAAAGATCCCAACTACGACTTGACGCGGATGGAGCAAGATATCGGCCTCCAGGGCATCCCTGACCTCATTGACAACACAACCCAAACGTCATGGTTTCGCGCGGTGAATTCGACCCTTCAGTACGAGCCGATCAAGGTGGCGTGCGAGCTGCGAGAACGCGAGATGCAATCGAATCGCATGCAAACGTTTCTCGCAAAAGTACTGCCGCGGATGGAAGAAGCGCTCCAACAAAACGAAACCCTTGACATTTTCTTGGATCCGCTGGCAATCCTAGCCGAGGAGGAGATGGCCACGGGGCAGCACAAGACGGACAACAATATCAAGGAGCTGCGGACGTTCACGGACCTCATCTACTCGAAAAACAAGACCCTGCCATCCATCGACTGGCATCCCAAGAAATCTGGCGTCGTCGCCGTCGCCGCAGCGACGAATTCGTCCTTTTCGAAACGCGCCGACGCCACCGACAAGGTACATCTTGTTCGTGTGCGAGAGCAGGGACAACTCGTGAGCCGCGCGTGTATTGTAGGTGGACGGATCGTACATCCTGCTGTGGAACTTTGCCGATCTCATCCATCCCCAGCTCATGATGGAAGCCCCCCAAGACGTCATGGCGGTCAAGTTCAACCCGACCCAGCCTGGCATCGTCGTGGCGGGGCTTTTCAACGGCCAAGTGTGTGTGTGGGATATATCGAAAGCCGAGGGACACATCTCAAAGAAGAAGGCAAAGAGCACCGGAGGAACTGGAGCACACGACGCCCCGAAAGAAGATGCACACAAAACCATGCCGCCCGTCAAACCCATCTACGTGTCGTACATTGACTGGAGCCATCGGCGGCCGGTCGCGGACTTGCACTGGCTCCCACCCGGGCTCGAAGTGAACAACCGCGGTCACTTGACGTCGACGCAGGATCCACTGAGTCACCAATTTGTTACGATTGCCGGCGATGGCCAAGTGTGCTTCTGGGACCTGAGGTTCAAAGACCCAAAGTACCGCATGCTCAACCACGGCCGCATCAAGCAAGACAAGTCGCAACTGAAAGCGTCCAAAGGTATTATCTGCACGTCCGTCTTGGCCTCGCTAGTTGACTAAAACGCTGTGGACTAGATGGAAAGGACGCCGCGCCTGCTGAAGTTCTCTTTACGCCGCTGTACTCGATCACGTTGACCAAAGTCGACGGCGCGGGAGAGCTCGGGCTCAAGTGCATTGCCATGGAGCGCACGAGCAACGAACAGCCGTCCTCGCGCTTCTACTGTGGAACGGAAGAAGGGGAACTTGTGTTGGCCGACTGGCGACCCCACGCATCCAAGGACGAAGACTCGTCCACCACCAACCAGAACAATGGCGACGACAGCGTCGAGTACGTTCAATGGTCGTGCCACGATCACTTTCGCACGACCGTCGGGCTCAGTCGGTCGCCGTTCTTCCCGTACATACTTTTGACTGTGAGCGAGTCCAACTTTCACATTTGGAACGTTGGTCCGCACAGCACCGGGACCGCTTCGTCCAACACCCCCATATTCATCTCGCCGTTCTCGCTCGCGCCCCTCACGTGTGGGTGCTTCTCTCCCACGCGGCCAGGTGTCATCTACATTGGCAAGTCGGATGGCGTCCTCGAAGTATGGGATCTCTTGGATCAGTCGCATCGAGCGTCGTTCTCGTCAAGTATCGCGGCATGCTCGCTGACAACCCTCGAGTTTCGATCTGCCGTTCCAGCGATACCGACCGCCAACCCTCCTGGTCCTGCAGCCAACAACGCTGCCAATGCCACCACCAACACCAACAAGACCAACAACGCCTCCGTTGCCGCGCAGCAGCCCCCCAAGCAACAACTCCTGGCAGTCGGCGACCTCAATGGAAATTTACATATTCTGGAAGTACCCCGCACCCTGTCAAGGGGCTCGGCAGGCGAACGCGGCGTGATTGAAACGTACTTCAAGCGAGAGATTGTTCGTGTCAAGGCCGTGCTCGAGTACGCAGACATGGCCGCCCGGAACGCCACCGCTGCGCTCAACAACGCGCAAGCCGCGCCCGCCGTTGCATCGACCGCATCGACGGGGGCAAAACCAGCCACTGACGCCGACGACGATTTGTTCCGAAAAATGGAGAAGGAGTTCAAGGCCGAGCTAGGTATTGAAGACCACGTTGGTGACCACCTTGGCAAGAAAGGGTAGCGTCTTATACCGCACAACAAAACCACTGATTCAGGTTTTTGCGTTGGTTTGCCTCGATGATCGCGCAACGCTCCCAGGACAAACTATGCGCCGTGACTGCCACACAGAGCAATAGAAATGTATGCAGCTTCCAGTGGCCTTCAACGAAGCGTGGCGACAACGCACTCGACGACGATAGCTCGACGACTGTGCAAGCGTCGCACGACTGGATGCTGCTCGTCCAAGCGCCAAGATTCTGCCTGTCCAGTGGTCAAAGTGACGTGGCGCACGTGCAAAGGGCATCGACCGGCGCGCCATGAAGACAATCGCCACGACTTGGTACGAACATGGGGCGGACCGACGTTGTTTTTGCTTATTGAACTCCGGATACCGTCAAATTTCCGGATAAATGAGCACTTCACGCCGTGGGCAAACGGTGGAAGCGGAATGAGCATCGAGTACGCCAAGTACGAGTCCGAGCACGAGCTCGGGGACTTGATGGCGCTCTTCGAGAAGGACTTGTCAGAGCCGTACTCGGTGTATACGTACCGATACTTTCTCTACAGCTGGCCTGAGCTGTGCATCTTAGCCCGCAGCGGCGGCACCGTAGTCGGAGCGATCGTGTGCCGCCTAGAGAAGAGTCCGGGTGTGCTCAAGGGATACATTGCCATGCTGGCCGTGGACAAGGCGTTCCGAAAGCACGGGATCGGGTCGAGCCTGGTGAAGAAAGCTATCGACCAAATGATTCAGCTCGAGTGTGATGAAGTCGTGTTGGAGACCGAAATCACGAACGTGGCGGCGATTCGGCTGTACCAGAACCTCGGATTTGTGAAGGACGAGCGGCTTCTCAAGTACTATCTCAATGGCGTAGACGCGTTTCGGTTAAAGTTATGGATGCACTAGCGATTCAAGCTTTGCTACATGACAAAGTGCAATGTGGTTTTGTTTTCACTCCACTGAAGCACCTGCAACGTCTCGTACTGCTCGATACACTGCTTCAGCTGCGCTTCCGTGTACCCTTTACGAAGCACTAATGGCTCAATCTCGCTGTACTTGACGCTCGTTTCGTGTCGATCCCGCGTGTAGTCCAAGATCAAGCGATAGATCTTGGAGTTGGCGTCCGCCGACGGCTACCACGCCCGACCAACTCAGTCCCACATGCCCATCACTTTCAGCCAGGTACCTTATGGCGCGACGACCCGCTCTGGTCTTCTTCATGCAGCGACGCCTTGGACACATACACGAGCCGAATGGCTTCATCAACGTCCTCCGTCATGACCTACCAAGCATCCATCCATGAGGGCAGTTCAAGCCAACGACGGTAACCCACTGTGTTGGAGAAGCGCAAGCGAGCAAGAGCTTGCGAGAGCCGCAAGATACTGAGCAACTGGCGTGCAGTCATGGCCGTTTGGGCATCGTTGGTCGAGTTCTGGCCGGCACGGAGCATCACGTACGCTTCAACAACGTAGCTGCAAAGGGATTCCGGAATACTCGGCACGTATTGCTTGGCGATCGCGACAAAGTACCGGAGAACGTCGGCCCGGACCGGTTCGAACGCCATGTCGGGGTTCTTTCTATGCAATCATCGTAATACGGCGACGGCGAATGGCGGAGTTCAAGTACCCGAAGCGATGGACATGGGTGACGTGGCGAGCCAGCGCTTCGTCTTTGTCGTACTGAGCAATGTCCAAGATCAAAAACAGCAAGTCGAAGCGGGACAAGAGCGCGTTTGGGAGATTGATGTTTTGCGACGCCGTCAGCTTCTTGTTGTACCGGCCGTAGATGGGGTTGGCCGCAGCCAGCACCGACGACCGCGCATTCAGCGTCGTCGTAATGCCCGCTTTGGCAATGCTCACTGTCTGCTGCTCCATCACCTACATCGTGGTCATGATTCAGATGATCTGAAGTAACTTGCTGCTATGTCCCTTAGTCGACTTACCTCGTGGATAGCTGTGCGGTCCCCTTCCTCCATCTTGTCAAACTCATCGATGCAGCATATGCCCATATCCGCTAGCACGAGCGCGCCGCCTTCGAGCGTCATTTCCTTGGTGATTTGGTCACGCACGACGGCCGCCGTGAGCCCGACGCCGCTGCTGCCTTTGCCGGTCGTGTAGATGCCTCTTGGACTGATCGTGGCGATGTGTTTGAGCAGCTGACTCTTGGCAACACCGGGGTCGCCCATGAGGAGGACGTTGATGTCGCCACGAATCCTCATCCCTTCGTCCATGCGTTTCGTGACGCCGCCGATCATGAGCAACAACAGCGCCTTCTTGATGTCTTCGTGGCCGTAGATCTCTGGGGCAATCGATTGCGCCAGCATCGAGTACAAGTTGGGACATTCTTGCAGCCGATGAACTTCATTTTCCATTTCTTCCGACGCATCCATAGCACTGTATCGCTTCTTGTGGTTGATCACATGCGTCGCTTCGAGGTACGTTTCCGTGATCAACCCGACTTGCATCTGGCGCTGGGGACTGTATGGCAGCGGCAGGAAGATACCGCATATCGTGACCAGCGCCCCGGGCTCGCACGTGCGCGTGAGTTCGCCGCGCAAGTACACGGTCAGAGTTCGTGGGATGTGCCCCATCGGCACTTGGTCAGGCAGCTCCTGCACACAGCACAGCGCTTGCGTGAATTGAATAGAGTCATTGACCACCTACATACTTGAAATTTGACTTCCTGGAACTTTTGGAACTTGGATGCTTTCGTCTGCATGAGGAGCCGACCGTTCGTGCGATTCGTTGTGCACTTTTCACTCGGACATTGCACCAACGGGTTGAAATTGCGCGACTTGACCTCTTGGTACACTTCAAACGAACAGGATTCACACGTGTAGGTCGCGACGACAACGAGGGGCTTAACGTTGGATACGCGGGTCACCATGCCCTTGATTCGCACGAGGCTGCCGACCTTGGACGCCTTGACGTCGCGAATGGGAACGGGCTTCGTCTTGACCCCAGGAATCAACCTACAACATCGTCCTTGTAAGACGGTGACGACGATGGATGAAATGGACTCCGCACTGGAGCTCGAACCGACGCATTAGCGCAGGCGGGAAGATCGTGCGAACGTCCACGGGGTGGTCAGGATCGGTCGTGGCTTCTTGCACACGATGCAAACGCAGTACATCGAGAACGTCATGCGCTTGGGTAATATCCCGCGACGGCGGCGGCAAGATTTCGTCCACCGCGTCCGAAAACAGCGTCACGTACCGACGGGTGTTCCGTACGATGTTGCGAACAAAGCCTTCGTCGTTCTCAAACTACAAGTGGTCCGCATCATCGTGTGGTGGTCATTGTAGCACGGAAAGTATGAACGTGGTGTACCTGCAAGACGTCATCGAGAGATATCGCAATCGTGGTTCGCTGTCGGTCGGCAATCTCTTGCTTCACATCGCATTGCCGATAGTGAGACCCTCCAGTCTGCTCAAGAGAACTGTAGCACGCGTACCAAAATGTCAGCGTACTTGCGCGTGTTGGTCAAAGAGCACACAAAGTTGCGCAAAAAGTTGAGGCACTTGTCTGGACCAGAACAAGTTTCAAGTCCCCATGGAGTTCACCACCGAGAATACCTCGTTCTTCGTTGTAGTTCGGGTACCCTGTGACGGCTGGCGTGGGTGGTGCACCACCGCTGGAACTTGCTTGGGACGACGCCGGGCGATGGAAGGCGGATGTGTAGTTGTTCCGAGAAGCTGCATTCATCTTGCGCTGTCGTCGCGGCAATCCTGGCCAAACTCCCGCCAAGTAATCTGGATAAAGTCCGGTCAGGTGAGAATATCAATTCACAATATATTTGTTATAACAAATGGACATAATACGAAACTTGGTACAGATTGTGGATTTATGACACCGAGCAGCAAAATATACAATAACTAGTTGACATTGAACAATATTTTCGCAACAGTGATTTTGATCAGTCGAATCACAATGTATTTTTAAACACGTAGAGATAGGATTATACAAATGGTATAAATTTTGCAGCTATTCTATAAAATTGTGTTCTGACATAGAGTGTCAGCAAGTTCGTTGGGCAAAGCATGAACGCTCCATTACGCCCCGCCGCCAAATTCCCCACATGCCCTGGACTAGTGGGATACTTGACGCTTTCCAGAGCGCATGCCACGTCTGCCTTGTGAAAACATCGTGGCACTGCCTGTGGTACGCGAGACGTACACGCAGGTGGTCTAATGGTCTAATTCGGGGTGTTGACGGCCGTCGTGTTCCTGTGCCTCGTGTGACTCGAGCACATCCGTGGCGTACGCCAGTACGCACTTGCACCAGCGCCGGCAACTGAAAAAGAGTCATTTTCACTTTCAAGGTATGGGAGTCACAGGCACTCCCACATCGTTCAGTCGCCCAAAGTGGACTCCTCCCCAAGAAACGCATTTGCAACTTCTCGCAACGTCGTCCCTGAACGAATTCATCGACGGATGCAATCTCACAAGCGGCGAATGGACGTTGAACGGCTGCTCGAACCAAGCTCCATTGCTTGTTCGCAACACCGCGCCACATGCGATGGCAAGTTCGGTGCAGCTGGCGGGTACCATTGACGAGATTGCGCACATCTTCAGACGTTTCCAGCCTTTTCAGCCCTTCGATGCCAAAGAGTCGGCTTGCATCGGATTTCTGGGCTCCAAGTCCAATCATCACCACATTGCCATTCAGTGGATGCTCCTGGACACCCCTCCGCTCACACGCGGCCGCGATGCCTGCATCATGGATGTTCGTGACTTTCTGTCATCATCTCTGTAACTCATCGTTGATGCTCTAGACACGCAATGTGTTTTCACGAGATGGGAAGCGGGGCTACGCATGCCTGTTTCAATCGATCGATATCCCGGAATGCCCAAACCTCGAAGTCTCCCACAAATATGTTCGCGCCAACATCCAGCACTCGGGTTACGTTTTCACTGAAATTCACCGTGGTCTTGTGAATGTCGTGCAGTCGCTTCACGTGGCCTTTGGTGGACATTTCCCGGCATGCTTCGCCCATAGGTACATGAAGAAGCAAGTGGCCACAATCAAATCGTTGGAGATGTACATTCGACAAATCCGAATTCAAGACGCGGCATTGCTGTACCCAGTCCAACCATACAAGCAGTGCCCATGTTGTCGCAAGGTGTTTGGCATGTTCGAGCGCACAAAATCATGCGTTGGATGCGACGAAGTGGTTTGCGTCGGTTGTTGCTCCATTGGTCTCGTTCATGGCAGAAAGGTTGTGCCGCTTTGCATTCCGTGCGTCTTGATTTCGATCTCAATGCCATCAACGTCGTCTCTTGGAGTACTTCGAGCTCAGATCGAACGCCATGTCTCGTCCGTCGACTACCCGGAAGAAGAACAAGATGTCAAGGAGCAGGCGTCTTCGATTACCGGCCGATCCAATATGTACATCATGCGTTCGTTGGAAGAAACCCATGCGATGTCGGAAGATGTTGAATTTGACACCCCCCAACCGCAACGCGTTCCCCCACTTGGCCGAAACCGAGGTCGGTCCGAGAACAGCAGCGGCGTGTGGGAAGACGCAATTTGGAAGTTCCACTCCAACCTGGAGCGCTTCAAGCACCACAAGCTCTCACGGACAATCTAATGCTAACCGCGGACCCCACGGAGAAATCGCCATGGCACCACTGGTAGTTCCATAATGTTTTTCTACTAGTAGTACATACTACAAGTAGTACTTCACACCACAAATTTCAAAGTCAAATTCCCCAACAAAAAATAGATGAGAATTCAATTTAACATCAAGATCGTGTCCTTTCCGTGATCATACTGAAACCAAGTCAACACCTCGATTCTTCGCGCGCTTTTTCGTACCCAGTCAGTTTCAAACTTGCGTCCTAGGCCGGATGTCGACCGGTTCAAGCATCGCCGCCACGCAGTCCAGCGACACGATCGCCAAAAATGAAGTTGGGATTAACTTTGACAAGTCGTCTCCTAGCACGAACCATGCGGAGGTGTCGTTGGAAGGATTCGACACCATTGGAAAGGAATGTCTTGGTCAAGTCAGCATCGAGAGTACAGTCGGCGTTGACGCTATTTCCGCAGTGCCTGAGAGCAATTTGAGACTTTCCTGCGAAGATTCGACCACATCACCAAGCGAAAGTATCACGCATTCATTGGCCGATGCGGCATCAAACACAACCAATGAACAAGTACCAACAATTCACGCATCTGACGTCATGGATGAAAGACAAACGTTTAAAGTCCCAAATCATCAAGCAGTCGCAAAACAGGCGATCAAACCTGGCGAATCGTACCCAAGTCATGATGACTCACAAATTCCGCATTTTGATGTGCACGAATACAACTTGACGCAGAAATGTCGACGAGAAGATGACAGTAGCGATGGGGCAGAGATGGACCCTCGCCGACTCAGCTTCGGTGATGGTGTCCCTGTCACCAAACGTCCATATGACGCTCATGGAGAGCCCTCATATGAAAAGTCAACATCATGTGCGCAAGACGACGTCAGCGAGAAATCCATCTTCTCCATTTCCGATACACTAACGAAACACGAGGAAAGCCATGACGAAGTGGACAACAATTTAAGCTGTTGTCTGGAAAAGAAATCAGATTCAGAAGAAACAAACGGCAACGTCCTGATGTCCACCGCTGCTACGGTTGTCACTCAACCATATCGACCAAACTTCATCACACCAAATTGCTACTGCAATATTGCAAGCCCCAACATCATGGACTCCAAAGAAGTATGCACCACCAACATTTTGACGTCGACATCAAGTTCAGTGGTCAACTTTTCAAATTGCAATACTGGCAATTCGCCCTTGCCGACGAATGACCCTGAAAAATATGCCAATGCACCTTCGACACCGTACCCGGCTAATCAAACAATGGTGTGGGATCGAGTTGCAATGGATGCCAAGATCTCAACAAGTTTTGTTCAACCCAATCGATTTAAAGAGACGAAAATCGGTTCCTCAGATTTCCAGTCGAATGTGGATATCTTGAAACCAAAAAGCTGCGAAAGTAGAGTGAATTCAAGAACCGACGTTACATCGATCGACCGTGCCTTCAGCGACATAGTAGTTGTAAAAGACGACAGAGCAACACTAAGCCCACTGGCACACGTTGGGGTTGAGCAGAGTGATGTCGGCGCTTGTACGAGTGGAATCGCCTTCACATTGGCGAATCCATGGGGAGGTACTCCAAGCAACCAAGCTAAGATCAACGAAAACAAAGTTCTCTCCCAAGGTATCAAGGTACCATTTGTGTGCCCACAGGTCATTCAAGGTGCAAATATTTTTAGTAGCGCGTCATTATGCGGCCATTCAAGGAGAGCATGACGAAGAAATCCCCAACAAGGAAATCAAGAACGGTACAAAAAAGGCATAGTTTTTGTGTAACTCGACCCGACGAGCCGTCATTTAGTGCCCTGCCATCACAAAGAGTCAACAGAACAGCTTTGCAAGAATGATCCCTTCGTAGGTGCGACTAATTACGAATTCGACGAAGGTACTCGTGTTTCCATTCATTGCCACTGAGGTGTTGACTATTGATTTTACTACGACTTAGCCTCACCGAAGCACTTTGATCAAGTAGTAGTCGAAGCCCCTGTGGGTATTACAGAAGATTCAGAAGATATTCAAGCTGAATTGGGGCTTGAGGCCAAAGTCGATTCATGTGACGCCAAGTGGGACCTTGACACTCCACCTTTTGAAAACCGCACACAAGCTGAACAAGTCTACAATTCTCAAGTTCCTTCAAATATCCTTGTCCCTGATGTGCAAGCAACCGACAGCGAGCATTCTTGCTCACGAACCCATCAAATATCGAGCGATGATGCAACTGTCATCCTCGAATGTACAGAATCATTGACAACTCAAGCAAGAATGCCCGTGACTCCACCCATCGAAGCAGTACCTCATCGCATGGAAACGTCGGACGCAGAAGCACCCATGCAGGTACATCAATGTGTTGAACAGCTCTCATAGTCAACAGGTCGATTATTCTACGGACTCTCGTGGTGGAAGTGAAAATGCGAAACCCATCACACTACCTGAAAACCACGTGCAATCAATTCCGTTCTTGCCCGGAGGGAGAATTGTGAGAATGTGTCTTAAATCTTTGGTAAGTTCTCAACCCTTGAATAGAGTCATTCCCTCGCTGCGCTTCCACAGTGTGACGACGTCACACTCACCGACTTATTTGGTAAGAGTACACCCAACAACTTCATCACACTGGCGTTGCACTCATGCTTCAAGCGCCGTCATGCTTCAGCACCCAGTACACCACCTTCACATAGAGGCCCCCAACATGCACGTGATTCTGCACTGTCTAAGCGTACTCACGGTGAATATAGGTCATCAAGAATGCCGAGTCTGTGGTGCATTATGCCTGTATGGACGATTACGACAGAATGCGAGCTCGTGCAACTGGTCAAACTAGCAAAATCAAACGCCCTCCGACACCTGGCCATGGACTACGTCTGCGCAATGTCAATGTGATGGACGTCGAAGAGGGAATTTCATCTTATCCTTCCAAATCACCAATACCTCGAAAGGACGCTGCCACCAAGACTGCTTCATCAAATTCTAGTCCATTTGCGGTGTTTGAGGACAATACAGATTCCAAATTCAAGACGCCAAGTCCCATCATTCGAGTAAAGACACTGAAAACGTCCACTGGCAAGTCGAAGAAGAAGCGATTGTACTCGGAGGCCGACAAAGAAAACGTCAGCCCCAACTCCACTCCAAATCGCGGCAAGTCGAACGGCTTGATTGAGAGCAAGCGACAACGCAGCATCACATGACCGCCTTCAAGTTGCTTCAAACTTTGCATATCCAGTGACGTTGGTTCCTTGGCTGCAGTTCCAAATTTCACCAAAGCTCATTCATGCGTACCTATTCAATACATCCCTGCACGTCTTGTTGCCATCTCGTTCATCAAGCTGCTCTCCGACGCACGAATTCTTGAATTTTCATGGCTGTGCTGTGGGAACGTATCCGGATAATTCAAGTTCGGCCAATCCAATGACGAGTTATCCGGGCTTTATCTAACTTAAGATTCCATCACTGATTGCAGTGTGCGTGTCACTCGACGGATGAGCTTCCTCAAGAAACCCGACAACTTCGCTCTGGAGAGCTGGTTGTTTGGGGAGGACATTGATACGAAGCGACCATCTGCGCTGCAAGTGAGGTCGGCACCGACGTCTCGACCACATTCACCATCTCTGGGGTCGAATGGCTCTGGTCCTGTCTTGATGTTCAACCCCAAGCTTGTAGCTGCCGCCACAGACGCCGCCAACAAGATTCAAGACACATACAAGAAAATGAGCACGAAAGCACTCAACTCGCAATACCCCATGCCAATCAGCAAGCACTTCCGCAAATACCTGAAGGCCAAGCAACAACATTCGTTGGCTAAGACTGTTGAAGAGGACGAGTTGTTCTTGTCGCCGTCGTCCTACACGAGGCTACGCTCATACACCCCTGCATCACTGCCAGAAATTGTAAAGGACCCCAAGAAGCTTCCGTACCTGCTTACGTTTCTGAGCGATGCACAGACGATGGAAGGCAAGACGAACTACCACCAGGTCCTGCTGTTCCTTCTAGAACTAGAGCAACAAAAGGCCGTCGGGGCACTTCCACCGCTTCTCAAGCTCTTCAACAAGTACTTTACGCGAGCTTCCGAATTCTGCATCTCCGAAACCCTCGAACTCACCAACGAGTTGGAACAGCTCGTGCTGGCCAACATCCAGCAGCCCGACATTGGTTGGCTCGGCTTCCGACCACTGCAAAAGCTCGCGTTCAAACGACTCGCGCGAGAAGAGTTGCCGCGCTTCATAAAGAGCGACGCATACTTGAAGATGCTCAAGGAAGTGGAGCAAACTGCGGCGTTCGTCCCAATGGAACGGTTTCTCACACATCGCCGAGCTGCACACTATTTTCTCCTCTTCCTCATGCAACAGCGCCAGCATTTCGAGTTGTACTTCTGGCTCCACGTCGAATACGTTCTTCTGCCGTGTTCTTCATCGCAGCCCTCGCTATTCTGGTCTCTCACGGCCGACCTTGTAGCCAAAGCGGCGGTCGATTCCACTGCGATCCTGGACGGCACCAAGGCCACCCTTACTACAGCAGTCGCTTCGTCAAGTCGCCAGTCCCCCGATGCCATCACCACCGCGTTGGCAGCACTGAAAAATGCTCAGAAGGATATTGTACGTCTCTTGTCGGCGTCGTGGTACGACAGATTTGTCAAGAGCCGACTGTACGTGCTGGCCCTGCACGATCGCAAGTCGAAGAAAGTTCTCGACAGCGATTCAGAAGACGAAGCCGCGGCGCCATCGTACTCCGAGTACGACACGGATGTGTCGATCCCAACCTCATCTCTTGTCCACCACGAAGAAGAGAGCGAAGACGATTCGGACGACGATGCCAGTGACGAGATCGGTGACGAAGACGATGGGTCGTCGAACGATAGCAATTCCTGCCGCCGGCGCCGCATGCTCCGCTCCGACAGACTCGACTTGGAGAGCATCCTACGCAGCACAAACCTGCCCCCCGGCTTGCAAGTCCACTACCGACCCAACTACGTTGTCAGTGCCAACACATTGTCCGACTATTTGACCGGCGCCTCGACCTCCAACGGCGTCGATTCCATCGTGTTGTTCAAGACGAGCTTGGAACGGAGTAGCGGGCTCGAAGTGTCGTATGTTCGGCGGGACAAGACGGCGGTGACGACACCAGAGGCCCAGCGCAAGATCCAAGACTTGGCAAAGCGGATCCAACCGTTTTTGGTCCCGCACGGCTTCCTGACGAGCGCCAAGGAAGCGAGTCATGCCACGATGCTGCCGTTCCTTGTCCTTCAAAACGGTCACGACGACCACTTGTATGGCGTGAGCTACTTTACGTCGTGCAACTTGCCTCCTCCAAAGGGCGTTGCGACTGTGTCCGATGAATCCCCGTCTCCATCTTCCCCCTCTGAGGAGAACCGATATGGCATCCATGGCATTTGCCTCCTGTCAACGTATCCGCTGCTGGAAACACTGCGGAAACTCATGATACAACATGTTCGCCGCCATCCAGGCGACGCATGCGTGGTCCCGGACAACGCCCGGGAACTGTACGAAGCGCCTACGCCCAGCACCCCCACGACTCATCAAGGGTCGCCCGGTACTCCCCTCGTTTTCACGTCACCCCCAACGCCGCAGCGACCGCGCCTCATGACTGGCATGTCGTTCCTCGACTTGCCCCCGCCCGCACGACTGGACTTTTCCCTGGACGAATTGTTTCACCGCCTGAGTTCTGCCCTTGTTCTTGAAGTCGTTGCGAACGCCCTCCTCGAGCACAGTGTTATCTTTGTCAGCAACAGCTACACTTCCCTCACGATGTGCGCTGAATCGGTCCGGTCGTTGCTGCATCCGTTCACGTGGTGCCATATCTATATCCCGCTGCTTCCCAAGTCCCTGCTGTCGTACTTGCATTGCCCGACGCCCATCATGGTTGGCGTTCACCAAAGCACGACATCGAGAGACGACCTCCCCGTACCATCGGACGCGTCGGCGACGATTGTTGTCGACCTCGATCGAGGGACTATCGAGTACTTGGGGACGCGGCGTGTCGAGTGGGGCTCCATGGGTCTGCAAGACTCTTGTCCCTCCAAGCACCATATCCGTATTGTAGATGCCTTCCACGATGCCAAATGTCGCCTGGATGCTCTGTTGTCGTGGCGCCTATGCGTGGATGCAGTGGATGACCAGGTGATACCCGACATGCAAGATACAGGGAACCTCGACCAGCAACGAAGAAGCATCTTCCATGACCTGGTGTACTCGCTGCTGGACCACCACAACACGGCGTCGCTTGTCGTCGGCGACGCCCATGACTCGGTCATCATGTTTGACGAGATGAAGTTCACAGCGCTCCGACCTGCGCACGAAGCACCTTTCATTGAGAGCCTAGTTCGGACCCAAAGTTTTTCAGAGATCATCAGCACCCATCGCATCGGCACGTCCTGCGAAGCGTAACCACCTTCATATCCATCACGACGCGCAACGTGCTGTTTCGTTTCTTCGATGCGCACTTTGTCAGAACAATTTTGAATTTCCAGATATTTTTCCAGATTTTTTGGCAATTCTAGTGCATTGTGCAATGCACTTAAATGGACATTCCACCATGTGATTGGTTTTAAAACGTACTTAATGTTTGTCGATGCCTGTGGATTGGGGTCAAAGACACACTCGACAACGTAATGGCGATGCTACAGCGACCCGCGAGCAGGGTGCTCAAGCGACTGGGCTTGCGCTTCAAGACCTCATATGCTGCGAAGAAGAACGTAGCCAACGTAGCCCCAAAGATGAAGCCCACGGCTCCATGGTTCGGTCTCGTCGTTGGGTCTGCCGTCGGGGCCTACGGAGGTTACGAGGTGTGGAAGACGTGGAACGATGAGAAGAATCCTGCGCATGTCTACGATCGACTTCCTGGGGGAAAGACTGCTGAGGAGGACAACATGGGCTCGGACGCAAAGGTGTGTCAGTTCTCGTACTTGCATGACGATGGATTGCAGCTCGATGACGCGTAGATGTTCTTGCTGCATCTGGCGCCGTACCGCGCCATTTCCCGTGCATGGGGTGCCGTCAACAGCATAGAATTGTACGTATTCCCGACGAACGCCATGCGTCAACCTCATGCATGTGCTGACCACGGCATGTAGGCCCGTCTGGATGCGCGAACCCATCTACATGGCATGGACACGTGCATTCGATTGCAAGCTGGACGAAATGAAATACCCCTTGGAGCATTACAAAAACCTCGGCGAATTTTTCTCCCGCCCGCTCAAGGTGCCGTCTCTTCGCTTCGTCCATGCATTCAAATGCAGTGTGACTAGGACGGCATCCGCCCAATTAACTGGGACCCTCGTTGCGTGTCGAGTCCTGTAGACGGCACCATGGCGAGCTTCGGCGTTGTAGATTTTACAGACGACATTCCCGTCATGGACCAGATCAAGGTAGATACTCTTCGTCATGGAGTTCGTCGATTCGCTGCATGTGCTGACGAGGGGCAGGGCGTGCGCTATCGAATGGACGACTTCCTGGGCGAGGTGCCCGATTTCTTTACCAATCCGTCCGCCGGCAAACGGTACAGAGTCGTAACATGGTGCTATGACAATTCACGTGTCATGTCAGCTTGTTTCACTGTGTGATTTACTTGGCACCCGGCGACTATCATCGGATACACTCTCCGATCGACTGGAGCATGGGCGAGCGCCGCCACTTCCCCGGTGACTTGTTCCCTGTGAACTCACGCGCAGTGCACTTTGTCCCAAGCTTGTTTACGTGGAACGAGCGTGTGGTATGTGACTTGATGACCACGTGGAGGGGCTGGCCTTACACACGTGTGGTGTAGGCTCTCTTGGGCCGGTGGAAGCACGGATTCTTCTCGATGTCGCTGGTGGGCGCCACGAACGTTGGCTCCATGACGCTTGATGTTGAGCCGGTGCGATTTTGATCCATGATGACGCGCTGACGATGCGCGATGGCTAGAACTTTGCCACGAACAAGTGGAAGGATTTTTACTTGACCAAGGAGTGGGGTAGCTCCGACGTGAAGAAGTACGAGCGCCAGGAGCTGGTCACGCGAGGCGATCAAGTGGCCCAGTTTAAGGTGCTGCTCCCGTTCCACACAATGATGAAGATGATGAATACATCCCATCTGTTGTAGCTCGGATCGACGGTAGTCCTCGTGTTTGAAGCCCCCGAAGACTTTGAGTTCACGGCCAAGTCTGGCGATAAGGTACGAAGACTATGCCAGCCACGACGAGCGGCAATTGATACGTTCGCCAGGTTCGGTATGGCGCATCGATCGGGCACTTTCAGCAGTCGACGGACGGCGAAGTTGCCTCGTCAACATTTCCCAGCACGTCCGACATGATCCGTCTGGCGAACCAAACCAACGACCAAGCAGGGAAAGCATCGTACTTGACCGAGATATCCCAGTCGATCGGGCAAATGTTCTTTGGTCGTGCCAAGTAAACAATGGCAGTCAAATGCAACGATAGATGAGTATGTCCATGCATCTCCACAATCCTTCAACTCCTCTTACCCAGAAGAGGTGCAAAGGACGATTCCGCGTGGGCAAGCTGGTCTGAACATGGATGCTCCGTGCAAATGACTTGGCGCTTTGCGCTGTCAAGTTGTCGCTCTATCGTGATGTCGCTTTTTGTCCGTTTTCCCCGTGTTATTGCGTCATGTTTTGCATTCTCCGCTGGTAGAGGCATCTCTCAGTCAGGCCAGGAGTTGAAGGGCACCATCCATCAACAGAGCGTCTAGGTCGTGGAGTCCGTGGTATTTCGTTGAAACTTGATCTATCGGGCCCCAGCGTCGACCCTCCAGGAACGCATTGGAGCGCATCGCACTGACGCTCCATGACTCTGCTTTGTGTTCCTCACATGGCGGAATATATTGACGTTTGAAATGTGTAAACTCTCATATTGTATACCTTTATATAAAATGCCACGGGTTTTAGTACCTAACACGTCGTCAGCGTTTGACGACATAGGCGGCGGCATGAGAGGGTCGTCCACGACGCTAGTCGCTGCATTGGTGCTCGTTGCGTCATACGAGTATGCAACTGGAAGAGAAATGATGAAAGAGCATACGTGGTCGGCGAACGTCAGCGATGCACATTACGGCATAGCTGAAGCTGCGGACATCCACGACGGTTGCAAGTGGAAGCGGGTTTGGCAAGCAAACGTCACTTCCGACAAAAACGCGCTGTCCACTCATGCACATGTAAATGGGCCGGGGTTCTCTATCCGTGCCACAGAAGGATTGAATGAGTCAGCCCAAGTGGCGTTCACTCTCGATAGCACCACGTTTCCCTCACAGGGCAAGTTGGTACTTCGCGCGCAATTCCCAAGCGTAGGCAGCGACATGTCCATGCGTATTCGTTCGATCTCAACCAGCATCTTGTATTAGAGTCGGGGACTGCGATCGACGCTCAAGTTTGTCAAGCATTCGAAGGAGCTTGTCGTAGTCCAAGGGAGCAGCGCACATCCCACGAGTTTGATTGTCCATCCGGGGTCCCCACGAGCCAAAAGTATAGCCACACCGACGACTCGACTTCGACTGAAGGATTTCCCTTGCTTCCAAGTACGTGCAACGTCTGTCCCAGGCATGTCAGATCAACATCCGCCCCAGGAAAACAACCCGTTTACATCATCCGTGCACGAGTTTCTCCTGACATGGGACTCGCAATGGGTTCGATGGCACGTCGACAACGTGTTTTTTGCTGAAGCCCCACGGCCGACTTCGTTCTTCTCCACCGATGACGTCCACCCTCTTTCACTTGTCGTGGCGGTCGACCTCATCCCAGATAATACCACACGTGGAGCTCAGCCCGATGTTGCGCTCGCCACCGACGGTTCGGATGCTTTTGTCGTGCAAGAACTGCTGCTCATGGAGCAAACGTCGTCCGCGTGCGTACCCACCTTGACCAACCCGAACGACTGCCGACAGTATGCGATGGCCAAGTCCACGTCGGCCTTTCTCCGTACGCACTTGCAATACTCAACGGAGACTCATGCTGCATGCGATGTAGCTCAGATTCGATCCGGATCGTTGGAAGGGTCCTTGTCCCTTGAGCAAGTTTACGAGTTCGTGAACGACATCGTGCCGGACCTGCTCACTGACTTTCCGCATTTGTTTCGGACTGAAGTGATTGGAACATCCGTGGAAGGACGGCCGATCGTCGCGCTATGTCTCGGGGCGTGCCATGCACCCTCTCCGGCCCCGCCCCAGGCTCTATACACTGCGCTGCACCACTCCCGCGAGGTGCGCCCTTTTCGTCTTTCCTACAATCCTTACGTCCATGCGTTGTCGGGGAATAGCCCATGTCCATGATGGTACGTCAACCAAGCGCTGTAAATCCCCTGCCAATTTCATGTTGTTGTGTCGCGCATGCACAGAACTTGGTGTTTTTCATCGACCATTTGATCTTGGGGCTGCGGGGCCATGACCCCTCGATCACAGCGCTGCTCTGGTCTCGCCAGCTCTGGTTCGTTCTCGTGGTGAACCCCGACGGGTACGCGTACAACGAGGCAAACATGCCGAAGGACCCGGACGAGACGTTTTCGGGCCAACGAAAGAACCGGCACAAGTCGACGTGCAGCGAGACGGCCGACGTCGGCGTCGATCTCAATCGAAACTACGACGTTTGCTTTTCGCAGGATGCCGTCGGTAGCAGCGACGAAGCGTGCGCCGAGGTAGGCAGAAACAACACGATTCAATCCTTTCATCCAAGTGTGTGTCGTGGGATCGACTAGGACTATCGCGGACCAGCCCCGTTCTCCGAGCCTGAAACCCGCGCGATTCGCGATTTCGTCGACCGTCACAACTTTAGGTGCCGCGAGCTTCCACGTCGGCGTCGCTGATCGGTTGTGTGTAGCACGGCATTCAACTACCATTCGTTCGGTCAGTACTTTAACATTCCGTTCGCGTGTCAGCCCAAGGGCGTGCCCCCGCCGTTTGCCACGTCCGTGTACAACGCGCTCGCGGCCGACATGACGTCGCGAAATCGGTTTAAGTTTGGTCAGTCTTGGAAAGAGGTATGCATCGAGTACATCTCCGAAAACGCGTGGCGCCGCTGGAACGACGTGGTGTCTGACGATTGCCTTGCTTGCACCTTGGGAGCTCGATCGTTTGCTACGATGTGCTGACTCGCGGTGGCGTGGGGTAGAGCAACTTGTACTCTGTGAACGGGGAAACGAGGTGCGTAATGCGAATGCAACTGGTTTGGTTGATGGGATGCTGTAGCGATTGGATGTGGCAGGCGCATGGCATCTTTGCCATTTCTCCTGAGGTCGGGACTTGCTTGAAAGCTGCAATGACGTGGCAATTTCGTAGACTGGACCAAGCTTCGACGTCGACAACTTTCACGGGTTCTGGCCGTCCGACCCGTTGGTCATCCACGACATTTGCAACGAATTGGTGCACTCGAACTACGTCTTGGCGAAGTGGGCGGGACCACAGTATGCACTGATCATGCAGGTATATGCACCCATCGCGCTCTCGGTTGCATGTGCGAATCCTATTCGCGTCACAGGGATGGAGCACTGTGATCACGGACGACGGCAAAGTCGCGGTCATCACGCTGGACCTCTCGGTAGGTTGTATTCCTGGGTTGGATTGGTCACGTGGACCTTGTTTCAGGTTCGAAACATCGGGCTCCGGTCGCCGCACCAACCATTGCAAATCGTCGCAACTGTGGGCCTCCATGGTACCCCGAGCAGTCCTGTGTACACCCTACCGCCGCTCCTGCACGCGGCAGACCCTGCCAACGATGCCGAACTGATCAAGCTCGTCGTACCCCTCGAGACACCGTTGTCAGCTGCGGCGCCAGGTCACGTTTACACACTCCTTCGCGACGGCCGAACGTGCTCCATGTTCCGCATTTGTACGTTTCGGTCTTTGCTCTTTCTTGGATCGATATTCATGCACATGCTTCTCTGTGTAGCGCTCGGCAAAACGACGAGCGAGTTCCAAGTGTGGCAGCCGTTGGTATTGCCCCAGTGCGGATCCTGTGCAGCGTTTGGAAGCCCATTGTCAAACTCGACGCCTTCAATCGGTGGAGATATCAACTGCATGACGCTCGATGCGTCCATGGTAGATGTGAAAGCATCACCACCACTTCGCAATTTCATCGTCGGATCGTCGTCGACCGAGGACGCCGACGACATACCGACGGGGCGGCCCATGGTTGCCGCAGCGCCAAAGCAGCCCCGCGGCACACTCAGTGTGGCCCATCACGAAAAGAAAGCGCTTCTACTTGTCAGTCTTGTTGTTCTCCTCGGCATGGTCGTCGGGCTCATCGGACTCCGGCACGTCAAGGCCAAGCAGTCCGATGAGTATTCCAAGGTGTCCAAGTCCGAAACCCTCGATGACGGAGAAGGGCTCGACAACATGATCGACATGATTTCCCCCAAATGCATCGCTGGGCAGGCTGCAATCGAGAACGGGAGTCAGCTCGCCCAGCAGCGACGAGCACGATCGCCCCAGCGGGACGACGACGACGACGAATTGCTTCAAGAGCATCCCGTAAATCGTCGGGTTCGATCTCCTCCGCCACCGTCCGCTCGTGACGATAGCGGAAATTATAGCCATGACGAAGTGTAACCTGTTTAACGACTCTTGTTTCATGCAAGGTTGTTGACGTGCTTCGACGCAATGCGCGCGCACACTTGTCCTAGTCCGTCTTCTTAAGCTCTTGCTGCTTCGCCTCGTTGGTTGTCGCGCTGTCGTCTGCCCCCCATTGAAGCTTCCCTTGCGCTTGCAGACTCCGCGCTTCCATGATGAACCAGTTGATCGACAACGTCAGCCCCACGGCAAGAAACAGAAACACAAACATGTGGATGGAGTCCTCGATCCCGGTCCAAATCGTCAGCCCGATCACCAAAAGGAGTGTCACAAGTACCGCATTAACGGCGATCACGAACTTGTCGCCTGTGCCCGGCTCGAGCGCGGACTTGACGGCGTCCGCAAACACTCCCATCGTCGCACGGTCCAAAGATGGGCCGTCATGGTGGACAGGTATCCGGATAACCTGCTAGACTTGAAAGGGCACCATCCGGTAAACGCTGGCGGTGAAATATCGCGGCAGTTGCGCAATCCGATGAAGGTGGGGTTGGTGCTGGGTCTCGATGGAGCCGGGAAGACAGTGCTGCTTCGCCAACTCAGCCGCATTTGCAAGGACAACGCCCGTACCCATCCCGAGCTTGGATCCGTCTTCGAAAAGGTCTACACGCACCTCTTCTCACACTCGACACCACATGATGTCGCTCCAGAAGACACCGTCAACGTTGCGACCGTGCCAACAACAGGTCCCCCACAGCCTTCTCCCAATTTGGATTACGGAATGAGGTTGTAGGTGTTGAAGAGGAGACGATTTCATATCGCAGCATGACGGTCACGCTGCGAGAAGTCGGGGCGCCGATGCTGACCATGTGGAAGTCGTATTTTGAATCGAGCGACTTCTTCATGGTACAAGCGCTTCCGATGTGTTGTCCAAATCGCTCATTGTCGGTGTAGTTTGTGGTGGACATGACCAACTTCCCGCAGTTAGCGACCGCTGCTGTCGAATTCTTCAACGTATTGCATGCCCCGGCCATGCAAGGCAAGATGGGGTTTCTCCTATTCAACAAAATGTACTTGCCCGTACTTACCCTTGTGGCCGTCCATGTCTCCGTGGCTTACCCTTTCACTGGCCTGTAGCGACGCACCCTGCACCGTGCCGACGCAATGGCTTCGGTCCCTCTTTAGCCTCGATCAAGTGTGTGCTTCCATGAACATCTATGTGATCCAGATCAGTGCGACCACTGGCGACCACTTGGATACGCTGCTGTCCACAATGGCCGCGAAGATGCAACCGATGCGGTACAGCCAAAGGTTGAGTCAATTCCGTGACCCAAGTCAAAACCGAGTTTACCCGACTACTCACGCCTAAACAATGAAATCGACACTGCGACCATTCTGCGCGGCTACCGCAGGCATGACTATCGGTTCGATCGATGAGGCGCGGCCACAGCGGAAACAAGGTAAAACATGTAGTGTTAATGTACACGATGTGCGTCTGAAGAACTGCATGACTTGACCACGGCGATGTCTTGACGATACGGATCTCATGGATCGTTGGCGTCGGTCGCGGTGGTGGATGTGGCAGTCGTCCCGGCCGGGTGCGCTTTGTCTGCTAGTGCCGCGCGCGGTAACAATCCAATGGCTTGGCCATATCGCACCTACACGCGGACTTCATAAACGGTTGCTGCTTTGAAATCGTACTTTATCCCCAGGGATGACTGTGAATGTAAAGTCGGCCGGCGCTTCAAACACGAGCACCACCGTCGATCCCAACTAGATGGACGGCGGTCAAAGGTCGATTGTGAATGTGGCAAAGTACCTTGAATTGGCCGACTTGGGTGCCACGGACCACCGAATGGAACGGGTCGTACACCTTGGCGCGGCACGCGCCCCATTTCGGGCGAATCTTGTGGTGGTCGTAGAACATGTTGGTGGTAAGCTCCTGGCGCATTATTACGTCGATGGTTCGGTCCTTTCATGGGTTGGACGTACAGGCTCCACGTCAAGCAAGATCGACCCTACGTTCGTCGCGCCGACGGCCGTGAGCGAGTGAAAGCCATGCGCCCATTGCCCTAACAGCACCTGTCACATGTGAGACAGACCAAGGTTGACTGTCGGTCGTACGTACCACACGTTCGTTCCACGTAAACAAACTTGGGACGGTCGCGACGGCCAGCGAGTTGACAGGGAAGAGGTTGCCCGGAAAGTGGCGCCGCTCTGTCATGTGCCAGTCGATGGGCGAGTGGATGCGATGGTAGTCGCCCGGGGCCAAGTAGATGACACAATGGAAGAGCCTGCCACAACCAATCGTGTCATGGCTGTTGCATGCAACCCCCCGACGCGCTTACGCTTTCCCAGGCCGGGGGGTGGTAAAAAATTCGGGAACGTCACCCAGGAACTCGTCCAGGCGATATCGTACACCCTAACGACACACCAACCATGGACAGCGTGAGAAATGAATACGCCAGGGACTCGCCATGCCTTGATCTGCTCCAAGACAGGAATGCCTTCGGTGCACTCGACAGTTCCGATGGTCGAGATGCGGCCGTCCACGGGACTACACACCTTCTGTGGGTCCATGTCAACTGGCCGAATGCCGTCCTAAAACCATTATGACAACCACATGGGGTACTAGAGTTCACAAGGCTGTTCCTTGGACAAGCCAGCAAGACGTACTTTGAGCTGACGAGAGAAGAACTCGCCGAGGTTCTTGTACTCCCGCAGAGGATGCTGCATTTCGTCCAGCTGGCAATCGAATGCATGCGTCCACGCTCGATAGACTGGTTCCCGCAAGCAAGAAGGCCTACGCACCCACCTGATGAGGTCACGCCGTGGAAGCTAGGCCACACAAGTTGATGTCGTTGACAGCGCCCCACACCCGCGAGATGAAGCGGTAGGGAAGCACGTTAAGGGGCAGCATCTACGATACATCCACGGTATGCCGTGGTGGCTGTGAAGTGTTTGGTGTGTGGTGTATGCATCCACACGGACCGTGGTTTTCGATCGAATGCGGGCCTCAGCTGCCGTCTTCTTCCCTGGCAATCGCATAAACACATTGGCCGGATGTTTGCTGAATCTTCGTCCCAAATCCTCACGAGGTTGAGGTCGTGATAGGGACCCGACCATCATCGACCACCTCTCCCAACTCGTCAAGAGCCTCAACCCGCTCCACATGCGTTTCGGATAACATCTAAGTATAACTACTCACGATGCGGTCGACAGTGAGCCAATGTTATTCTTTAGTACGCAACCAGGTCGCCATGGACCACATCAGTGGTTGGTTTCATTTCAACACGGCATCATCGCTGGTATGCCAAAGTCGAGCAACTGTGGCGCAGTTGCTTTGTCGCAATAAGGAGCAGCGTGTTGCGTTGGGGGATAATGCGAACGAAGTCCCATGCGATGTAGCCACAGCGGAGGCCTATGCTTCGTCCTGCTCCGCGAACTGTGAAACACGAGACACAGATTGAAGTTTGACAGAACTGGCGGAAATCAAACCCCCCGTCCCGCACGCAGTCCACGCCGTTCGTTGGCACCAGCACCAGCCACTCGCAATCACCATCGCAATCGTCAGGTCAAGGTGGACATAGGTATACGCTGTGAAGCAGGATGCTGTGTGACTTGACACTATTTGGTCTGGAACAGGCCATCCACGTTCAGGTGTGAGCATCCAGCCACTTCGCTCCATCTACCTCCAACCTTCTCCATATTTATCCTACGTTGTCCTTGCCTTGACCAGCGCTACCCGATGGATCTGCCGTCGGGCAGCAGGCCAGCGTTGGCCGCGGCGTCCTTTCGTCGTTCTTGTGTTCTTGTGGCCCATGGAAGTTGGTGGCTCCGGCGTGGGCCAATCAGAAACGCTCACATTAGTGGTGGGGAAGTCCAGGCATATTTTAATTGAAATGGACATCATCCTATACTTTAAGAAAGATGCGAGAGAGAATTGTTTTTTCTATTTCTCTCCGTGTGCCGTTTCACTTCGGCTCATTTTGAAACTTGGATCATTCGCATGACAACGCCCGTGACGAACCGCCCACAAATCGCCATCTTGGACTTTGGGTCCCAGTACAGCCACTTGATCGCGCGCCGCGTCCGCGGTATGTGATGGCCACAATCTTCCGTGCGCGCCCATCGGTGTCTCACGCAGGTCGTCGTGTGTAGAATTGCACGTGTTTTGCGAGCTCTACTCGTGTTTGGTGACCGCGGAGGAGCTGAGCAAGCACCAGCTCACCGGGATTATCTTGTCGGGTGGACCCAACTCGGTGTACGAAGAAGGTGCGCCCCACGTCCGCCCGGAAGTGTGGAAGTTCATTGAACAACACAACTTGCCTCTCCTCGGGATTTGCTACGGTATGCAAGAATTGGCGTACACGTTCGGTGGCACCGTCGCGAAAGGCCAACACCGTGAGTACGGCAAGGCCATGGTGTCCACGCATGCCGTGGATCGCTCGGCGCACCTCGGTTTCCTCGACGGCCTCACCGACGGCGACTTCCAAGTGTGGATGAGCCACGGTGACAAGCTCACCAAGACCCCCACCGGGTTCGTTGACATCGCGTTCACGGCCAACTCGGAACATGCTGCGATCGCGAACGCGTCCAAGAAGCACTTTGGGATCCAATTCCACCCCGAAGTCACGCACTCGCCGCTCGGCAAGGTCCTCCTCAAGAACTTTGTCGTCGACATCTGCGGGTCGCCCACGGACTGGAACATGCGCAGCATCGCGGACGCTTTTATTGAAGAAGTTCGCCAAACCGTTGGTCCCCACGGCCATGTCATCGGTGCTGTCTCTGGTGGTGTCGACTCGTCCGTGGCGGCCGCGCTTCTTCACCGTGCCATCGGCGATCGTTTCCATGCCGTGCTCATCGACAACGGGCTGTTGCGCGCCAACGAGGCTGTTGAGGTTGTCGACCGATTGCAAAAGCACTTGGGCATCAACTTGCACTGCATCGACGCATCGGACCGCTTCCTAGCCAAGCTCAAGGGCGTGACCGACCCCGAAACGAAGCGCAAGACGATCGGCAACCTGTTCATCGACCTCTTCCAAGAAGAAGCGGCGCGCATCGACCACCCCGTCGACTTCTTGCTCCAGGGCACGTTGTACCCCGATGTGATTGAAAGCATCAGCTACAAGGGCCCAAGCGCCACGATTAAGACACACCACAATGTTGGCGGTCTCCCCGACACGATGCATCTCAAGCTCATCGAACCGCTTCGCGAACTGTTCAAGGATGAAGTCCGCGAGCTCGGCATGGCCCTCGGCATCGACGAAGCCAGCGTGTGGCGCCACCCCTTCCCCGGCCCGGGCCTCGCCATCCGCGTCCTTGGCGAAGTGACCAAGGAAGCGCTCGACATTTTGCGACAGGCCGACACCATCTTCTTGGACGAACTTCGCAAGCACGGCCACTACCGCACGACCGGCCAGGCGTTCTGCGTGCTCCTTCCCGTCAAGTCGGTCGGTGTCATGGGCGATGGCCGAACGTACGAAAAGGTGATTGCGATTCGCGCCGTGAGCACGTCCGACTTCATGACGGCCGACTGGTATCACATGCCTCACGACGTTCTCGCTATCATGTCGAACCGCATCATCAACGAAGTCCGAGGCGTCAACCGCGTCGTGTATGACATTTCGTCCAAGCCCCCTGCCACCATTGAGTGGGAATAGAGCCAAAAACCCTTCCAACTAAACCTCAATAGTCATCCATGTAAACCCTGTCTGTGGGCGATCGCCTTCTTTCTGAGCTTCAACTTTCACCTGCCAAGGGGAGCTAACGAACGAGAAGATGTGGTGAACTGTCGTCGAGGTCTTCTTCGACGGCATTCGTCTCAAATTGGCCGTCTCGGTCATCGACGTCGTCTCGATCCTTTCGTACGGTGATGATGGATGATGCACGGACCGGTCAGTGATATGTATCGCCACCGCATTTGCTGCCGTGGATGGGAGCACATGCTCCCTCGTCCACAAACCACCCCACATTTCTGTCTCATCCCACAATATGTGTCTGTGTATTCATGGAATCCACTTGGACGTGCCGCCGCGCCACGCCGCCTTCGACCATGCAAATGGACGAAGCATGTATCCGGATATCCGGATACGTTCCGACCCCCCAAACACAATTTGTCCAGTGCGGAATTATCTTCGCAGCGTGATGGACCTTGTGGATGCGAACGCGGAAGACTTCTTTGCGTCCCTAAATGCAGGGAGCGCGGCTGCGTTCTTGCCACAGCCAGTGGAAGAACCAATGGTCAAGAAACCGAAAGTTGGTATGGGTGCGATGGCGACCACGGCCATGAAGTACGACATGTCGGCGCAACCGAAACCATCGTCGGTATCGATTCTGGTGCCCCCACCGCGCGTCACGGTGTCGACTATCCAGGATCCGAAAGAACCACAGCTGCCCATGGAAGACCGTATTGCGAATCTTCTTGTGCCGGACATGAAAGTTGGAGACGTGATCCAACTTATCAAAAAGATGAAGCAGGCGGGCAAGTCCGACGCGGACGAGTTTTCGGAACTCGATGCGGAAATGAACTCGGCGCCGCGATTTGTGTGCGACGTGTGCGGCAACACGGAACAACACAACTATATCACGGACTACGCACGTGGAGACACGGTGTGCATGGGACCCGACGGCAAAGGGTGCGGAAACGTCGTGCAGGACCACATCGTCCACGAAGGTAGCGCGTACCGAAAGTTTGAAGGCGAGGAAGACAAGAGTCATCACGGCCCAGCGCCCAACAAGCTCTTCTCGATGGGGCACAACCTTCGCACGATGATTTCGCAGGTAGAACGATTCATGTCGTGACGTTTCTCGTCCTTTAACGCCATCGTGGGACGTCAAAAGGACGGTGAACAATCGGCAAATCTGCGGCGCGCGTCCGAGTTTGTCGAGATGAACTTGAGTCAGATGGGCAAGGATGAGCGGCGGACGCGTATCGGGTATAAAGATCAGGTACATGCCCATGTCCCTGCAATTCTCTGACCGCCGCCGACGAATGACGACATTGTGCTCACGCGTCCTTCTGTCTAGATGAAACAAAAAGCGTGCCGTCTCATCGACCACACCGGCGCCAATTTGGACTTGCATGAGATTGTGTGCAACCGCGCAAAGAAAATGTTTGCCGAGTTTCGCGACCTCCGCGAGCACGTGCACCAGTTCGAAGCGGTCGTTGCGGGCTGCATCATCGACGCGTACATGACGACGGGGAAGGAGATGTACCAGGCGCAGACGTCGATCAAGATCGGCAAGTTCAAGCAAGCTGGGATTGCCCAGCTCACGTTGGCACCCAACAAGGCCGTCGATGAAAAGAAACTCCATCCGTTTCACTGCAAAGCGTGCGGACTCACGTTCAACGCGAAGCGTGCGTTGCAATTCCACACATGCGAGGGCAAGGCGACAAGCGACAACGGCACCAACGCGTCGACGGCAGCGGTCGAATTGACGCCCCTCGAAGGCCCGGACGACTCGGCGGCCCCCGTCCGCGACGTCCGCGATGGCAAAGAATGGTTCCAGTGCCCCGTGTGCCCACGCAAGTACGAACGGCGCGAGGCCGCCGTCGAACACATGACGCGACACAAAAAACAGAGCGAGAAACGCAAGCTCCATATTGAGACGGCCACGATGGACTCGACGCGGTTCCTCAAGACCAATTCGCTCGCGAGTGCCAACCCGAGCGTTCAAGTCAACACGCACGAGCAAGTGCTGTTTCGAGGCCAGGGCCGACGCCCGTGGCTCCAGAGCAAGCTCGAGCAGTATCAGCAACAGCAGGAACTGTTACAGAGGCGTGACGACGAGACGAAAGGCGATTAACAATTCAACGACGACTCGCATTTCCAACGAGCCCATGCATGTGGCTGGGGCGAGCGGCCATCCCATTGAGAAGTGAGCACATTCATGGATATTCATCACTCCTGAAGGACGCAGTACACGTCCTTCGCAACTTGCTCAAGCTCGGGATCTAGTAACTTCAGGTAGCTCGTTGGGGCGGTTATTTTGAAGATAACGTAGAGGAAGATGCTGGCGCATTAAAGCATGAGAATGGGAAAGACAGGAGTGCGCTGGGACGAGAAGACTATCGCGTGAGGTCGCCCTGGCGAGCGCCAGCGGCAGCTGCATGAGAATTGAGGAGAGCTTTACGGCAATGGATTCCATGTTCACAGTGCCTGGATTCATGTGTTCAGGTGCGTGTGGAACAATTCTGACCTTCAAGTCACATCCATGCGCCGTGGGGTCATCCGTGCTCTCGTCCTGGGTGCGCTGCTTGGAGCCGTGGACGCTCGATCGATGCCCAAACATGAACACTAGAATGGTTGCAAGGGTCGTGTTCAGGGAGGTTAGGACGACGGCTTGGGCCGCGGAGTCCCAAGAACGTCGTCTTCCGTGAGCTCGAGGATGTTGTCGTGCGTGACGATGCGAGCGTTGCCGCCTTTTGCCGCCAACACTTCCTGGACGTCGAACCCGTCATCTTCAAACCAACCGAGACGGTCGGCGATCAAGTGCAAGTTTTGGCACGTTGGGCACCGAATGAGGACGACGCCGTTGTAGTACGCATGCTTGCTTATTGTCTTGGCGGCACGAGTATCACACACTAGAAACATGCCCAACGCGTGAGGCCGCATGCATGTGGCGCAGAGCATGCACTTACCTGTACACGTGTATACCATGACGAACTTGTCGCCCGACGTGAGTGTGGCGCCGGGAATGTCTGTGCCGGGCGAGGCTGGATCGGAGGGAGGAGCGGGTGGCGTTGTCGAGAACATCCTGGCACCTCGCTGCAATTCCAGACTGACATGAGGACGGTGGCACGCATGGTAGGCAGGAATTCTAATCACCGTGCAGCACTGCACGGTCAAAGCAGTCGAAGCGATGCATGGCGACAGCGACAGGACTCGAACGACCGCTTGGCGGCGAACGCGGGCGAACATTTTGCCGATTATTGGTAGAGCCACCTCCCGGATAATCGAGAGGTTTCCGGATAATGGTACAAATGCCCGTCAGTGCAAGCAACGGAAGCACTCGAAAAGATGGCGCATGAGCAACGACTATCGCAGCACGACGTCATCCAAGTCCTACAGAGTCTGTCAGAGTTAAAGCGCCGTGAGGTCTTGCCACGCGCGAAGTTACGGGTACCGACTGAACATGCAACACCAACCGTCTCGTGCGCTAACAAGATGCACAGGAATTAAAGGACATGTTGATCGCACGGCACCCGACCTTGGTGGCAATGGTACGCGATGCCGCCAATACGAACCAAGCCCTTGTAGATCGTACGCGTCGAAATCTCCTCGCTCGTGCGTTCATGCCATGGGTAGAATTGTTCGCGTTTGCCACGCAGGGAGCGAGAGCAGTGAACCCTCTTGACCATCCAGTGACGACGAACGGCGTCACGACGTTCGATGCGCTGGATGTGTCCATCTTGCGTGCACAGGTACATATTCCGCGAGGTGTGGCGGCAACTACGTTATCCGCATTGAATAGTTTGGGATGGACGAAGCCGACGCCATTCGCGCCTTAGAAGAATGCCATGGCGACTTCGTCAACGCGATCCTCACAGTGGACGCCACACTCGACACGGATCTTTAACCCAACACCTTATTTATCCATAAAACGACACCACCAGCGCGTTGCACGAGTCGCGCATAGAACGTATTGTGGTGTCAACTCATCCGTTGACCGGTGTGCACAGAAAACACCAGAGCGGTTGGCCCAATCGTCAGATCTCGATGCGCTGGAGTCGCAACCTCTGTGCAGTTTCATCATGGACGCATTCTATGGGTTGATACTGAGCTTCCAAACACGTTGATCGCGTCGACCGAAGTGCGTTGGTGGTCGTGGGGGAGAGCGCCATGGCTCGTTCCGCGGCTACACAACGTCCTCTACATTCTCTGCACGTGATCCAGCCGCACAGAAGAAATGCATTGATTCAGCGTCTGCACCTCGTACACGCACCTGGCCAACGTGTGCTAGAAGTCGCGGGTGCCAAGCTCTCGAAACATGTCCGCACATATCTGGAGCGGACGATGAAAGAAGTTCAAAACGCGCAGACTCAATTCACGTTGTCATGCGGACATGATCTAAATTATGGTGGCGCGGGCACTCACTGGTTACAAGGACGGAGCGTCGTCGCGCCAGTGGGACACGAGGCTCGAAAAAATGCCGCTGTCGTTCTCGAGCAGCGCAGATGGCGTGTCGAACTCGGCGACCGCGCCCTGGTCCATGACAAGGATCCGTGACGAGTCCAAGATGGTGTTGATGCGGTGCGCAATCGTAAGCACCGTGCAACATGCAAACTCGACGCGCATCGTGGCTTGCAGCGACGCGTCCGTCGTGGCATCGATGGACGCTGTTGCTTCGTCCATGACCAAAATACGCGTGTTCTTGAGAAGCGCGCGGGCGATGCACAGCAATTGGCGCTCGCCTACGCTAAAGTTGTACCCCCGCTCTTCGACAACGTCATCCAAACTCGCCACCTGCCACGACCACGCATGTCATCCACGGCAATCTCGATAACGTGGCATGACGTTAACACGTGCGTACCTTGTGGTCGAGGTGGGACCGTGTCAGGGATGCCCACAGCGCCGCGTCGTCGTACAAGTCGAACGGGTCCAAGTTGGATCGCACCTACATGTAGCAACGTCCGCAGGGACATGAATGGACACGACGGCCCGACCACAACGACGTACTGTGCCGGAGAAAAGCACGGGGTCTTGTGGAATGATCGCGATCTTTTCGCGGAGGTCGTGCAGCCCAAGCAACGACACGTCGATGCCGTCAATGTAAATGATCCCGCTTTGCACTTCGACGAGTCGCAGCAGCGCGACGACCAGACTTGACTTGCCCGCGCCCGTCCGCCCGACAACCCCAATTTTTTCTTGCGGCTCAATCGTAAACGAGAGCTGACGGAGCACGGGCGGCAGCCCCGCGCGGTACTGCAATGTTACGTTGTCAAACACAATGCGGCCATGACTCGGCCACGCGGCGGCCATGGGCTGGACCGCGACGTTTTCCGATTGACGGAGCGCCGCCTCCGACGGCAGCGTCGTGTATGCGTGGATGCGTTCCACCGACACCATCTCGGTTTCAAGCTCGCTGAGTGTGGTGACCCCAATGTTCAAGTTGCGCGTGATTTGAAACGCGTACGAGAGGGAGACGCCCGCAAGACCAGCAAACCATTCCGCTTGCGTCGGTTTGGTCCACACGGCAAAAAACGCTGCAAATGTTGCGATGACGGTGCCAGTAAACTCGAGGCGCAAACCGAGCCAGCAGTTGACGGCGAAGTTGAGCAAGTACGCGCGCTGGTTTGTGTCCAGGAGGTTGCGGAGCCGGTGCCGGAACGATTCTTCGACGCCGTACGCGCGGATCGTGCTCATCCCGTCCAACGTTTCCGTGAGCAGGGCGTAGACTGGGCTGCGCGAGATCGAATCGAGCCGCTGGAGCTCCCGCGACGTCGCGATGAAAAACTGTTGCGCCGACAAATACCACCACCCGACTGGCACGAGCACGACGCTAAAAAGCGGTGTCACGTACACAATCGTTCCAATCGTCGACGTGGCGGCGATCGATGCGGTCAAAATCGACCCAAACGACGACGGAATGTCCTCGTCGGTCGTATACATGTCCTTGGAGAGGCGGTTTACGATGCGGCCGAGGGGGGTGGTGTCGAAGAACGTCATGGGCGACCGCAGGATTTGCGTGATCAAGCGCTGAAACAGCTCCTTGGCCCCCACGAGCCCAAACAAATAAATCGACACGGCGCGGAAAAACAAGCACAAGATGTATGCGACGTTGAGGACGACGAAGATCGACAGGTAGAACGTCTGGTCGGATGGCTGTGGGTGGTTGGACCATAGCGACAGCCAAAGGGTCGCACACAACGTCATGCCCTGCGCGATCAAGTACACGACAAGGACGCCGAGAGCCGCGATGAGCCCACCGCACGCTTGAATCCACACCAAGTATATCGGCCACCCCACTTGACCGGTCGAACGGTCTTCCTTGACCATCAGAGCGGCCGTGGGTATTGCGTCGACAACGATGGCATCCTTCGCGGCATCGTCGTCGTCGGCGCCGGCATCGCTCAATGTGATCTTGCGTCGGGCGACCGCTGCGTCTGCTAGGGCGTCGACTGCCCGTGTCGCAGAGTCACTTGCATCAGCATCTGGCCGGGGCGATGCAACGTCGTTTCCTTTGAGTTCAAACGGCACAGGCGCCGCGTCCCCGTCGATGGCAGACCCGCCTTGGAACGTAGCCACCATGGTAGCTAGCTCCAACTTGGTTTGCATCAAGTCCGCGTAGGAGCCTTGCTGTGCGACATGCCCGTTGACGAGGACGAGGATGCGGCTGCAGTGGGGGAGCACCCCCAGGTTATTGGTCACCATCACGACCAGCTTGTCTTTGAGAATGTCGAGCATGCACCGGTGGAAGATGTCGGCGCCAACATGGCTGTCCACGGCCGCCAGGACATCGTCAAACAGGTAGATGTCTGCGTCTTGATAGATGGCGCGTGCGAGGGCCACGCGAGTGCGTTGGCCACCGCTCAGGTTGATCCCTTTCTCGCCAATTTCGGTGCGATCGCCAAATGGCAGCATCGCCAAATCGTCGACGAGGCAACTCACAGCGACCGCACGTTCGTACCGCCAGTGCTCAAACGGTAACCCAAACAAAATGTTGTCTCGCAACGTCGCATTCTGAATGAACGGCTGCTGGCTCACGTACGCGACGCGGCCTCGGCGAAAGACGTGCCCGGTGCTGCACGTAGCGTCTCCGAGAATGCCTTGAAGCAAAGTTGACTTGCCGCTGCCGACAGCGCCGACTACCGCAACAAGATCGCCAGATTGAAGGGACAGCGACACGTTTTGCAGTGGAGGGGTCGAGGCCGCATCAAACGAAAAGTCGGCGCGATCCACGAGGATGCCTGGAGCGGTGAGGCTCCCCGGACCAACGACAACGCGCTCTTCGTCAAGGAGAAAGTCGCGCAGCCGCTTGACACTCACGGACGCTTCCACGATGGCATTGACCACTTGCGGGAGCTTGAACAGCGGAAATCGCAGCACGTTGAATAAAGCGAGCGATGTCAGCGCCGTGCTTACGTCGAGGGCATTGCCGAGAAGCACGTACGAGACAAACGACGCCATCGCGACTAGCGACGGCACGCCGTTGTACACGGCACTCGAGATGGCTTGGGTTACAATGTACGATCGAAACTTGAGCAGTTCGTCCGTGCGGTACTCCATCACGCGTTTGGTGAAGCTGAGCTCCCATGCTTGCAGCTTAATGACTTTGATGCCGGCTAGCACTTCGTAGCACAATTTCACGCGGCGATCCTTGACGTCCATGAGGGCTTTCTGGAGGCGCTTCATCACGCGTGAGAGACACAGCGTGATCGGGATCACAAGGAGAATCACAGCGATGCCGGCAACGAACGAGATCCCGAGCTCGTCGTACAGCATGAAACACGAGATCAAGATCAAGTACGGAACGACCCACACCGTGTGCAAGTCGACTGTGAGCCGCTGGAGTCGCGCCGCGTCAATCGACATGAGGTTTGTAATTTCCCCCGTCGACCGTTGCTGTTGGGCACGACTGGACAGCCGCAGTGACTTTGCAAACACTTGGTCCACGAGCGCGCTTCGAAAGCGGAGACCCGTTTCCTTGACGTAGTACATGTACTGCCGAAAACAGAAGGACGAGATCACCCCCGAGACAAAGATCACGGCCACGAGGATGTACCCGTCTGTGGGATCGGCGGCAGGGTCGCGAAGGTACGCGATGGTCTTCTTGATGACGATGGGTGCGGTGAACTGTAGCGTCGTGCGGACGAGACGGAGGAACCCGGCGAGGACAAACGGACGACCGAACGCCCGCGCCAATGCCCACGACAAACTCGGCGACGGCGTGGCTTGCTCCAATGCCCAGAAGTGACCGAACCGTGTCGCAACGTGGCCCGCACGGTTCTCTCGATCCAGTTGGTACAGATCTTCGAACTCAAGCGGTTTCTTGCTTCCAAGATCCATCAACGGCGTGAGCCAGGTGAAAAAGATGGCCGACCCACACCCGCGGTGGTCTTCTGGCGCGGTGAAGGCAAACGGCGGCGTTTGACTTGCATGATTCGGAGACAGCGCAGTGCTGGTCGCTGCCAAGAGGGGTGTCTTTTCCTTCATCGGCGACATGGTGCTGCCGTCGCGACCAATAAACCTATGCGGCCACGGCTCCCGGCGTCACGACGGCTTTGGAGGATTTGCCTCCGTCCAGTTGTTGTTCATTCGGACCTCGGAATAAGAACTTTTCATTCGTCGTGGAAAAATCGTTGTAATTTTGTGAAATAATGACGCTTTTTGTTTTGTTGCCGTCAACGACAAAGTCCAGTGGCAGCTCGGAATTCCATCAGCCACTCCACACTCGACAGCAACGTTACGTGACTACTCGGCATGCGCACGATTCATCGATGGATCGACCGCTCATGCGGTGCCGCCTCCATTTGGAAACGCGTCTAAGCTCTACAATGTCACCCGAGCATTATTTCATGTGTTTTTGGCCAGTTGGATTTGGTGAATTGGCATTTTTTGAAGTGGAATAATATAAAATACGACTACAAAATCGAATCTGTTACAAAGATGATAATGTGCCTTTTTAAATAAAATTTTGTAATTCGGTGGGAAACGGTCGCCCTTTTCGCCGAGCTGAATCTGTAAACGGCGCCGAGATCGATGCGCGAGGCAACCCCTCGATGTTTGTGTTGTTGCAATACTTCATGCTTGGTGCTACGGCTATCGTTCGACGATGTCGATCGTCGTATTCGTACACTGTCCTGGATGTCCGGGTTCCGCAGGTGAGTGATGGCTGAGTAACAAAATCTCCATCCCTGAAGGGGTGGTAGCGTAACCGATCGTTGGGTGGTTTCACGAGTAGGAAATGTAACTCTTCAAGAGAGCAGCCACGAAGGGTCGCGCCGACTGGGCTGCGACGAAAGTTGACATAATTGAATCGATCCTGCATGGCCAATACGTTGAGCCCCCTCCCGCCTGTGGCCAGTGCAACCAGAGCCAACGTGGTGTCCATGGTGCTTCCACCGCTTCGCGGCACTGTGACCAACGCCTCTGACCCTGGCACGAGTCCCCACGACCATGCAGTGACGGCCTCCCCCAACAACGCTGACGTCTTCCGTGCAAGAACCCCCTTGAAGGCTGCTGACAGAATGCTACTGATGACGAATGCAACGCTAAGTCCACTCAAGAACACCGTCGTGTCGTCACACGTGGCCAAGCAATGGCATCGCTGCGACGTGTGCAACAAGTCGTACGAGCGGGAAGAGAGTTTGGCCGAACACATGACCCGGCATCGGAATCAAATGAAGAAACGGCAACAGCGAATGCAAGAAGATATGGCGATGGCACAGCATGTGACGAAGGCGGCACGGACGCTCAACGCGCCTTGCGTCAAGACGTCGCCAGCTGTGCGATTGAAGCTCATTCCATGAACATTCGCTTGTACGTAGGATATGAGGTAGAAGTAGGATGCACCACCAAACGCATGCAGTTCATGTTCCTTGGTTTACGACAGAACGCCGTGGTTGTGGTCGGAGTCGCGCTTACACCTCCAAACTGACCCCGCGCTCGATCGAGATGGCCTCCAACATAACCGAGAGGCTCTCGGTCTTTTTGATTCGGTCCATCAGGGCCTTCCACTTGGGATTCACGTCGGCGTCACGAATCGACGACACAGCGTCCACAGCACGCAGCGCGCTGCGAATGACGTCGTTGATGCGCTCGACTTCGCTGCTCACCTCGGTATCCTTCGGGCGACGATTCAACGTCTTGTCCAACGGGGCACAGAGGGCGTCCAGGTTGTTCAGGACGGTTCCGGGGGCGACCGTCGTCAGTTTGGCCAAAATCAAATGCGACGACGTTTGTACGTCATCGTGATCTTGGAGACCCTTGATCAAGTACGGTGCGAACGCGTTTACGTCTACTTCGGTTGGAAGCGTATCGAGTAACGTGTCCAGGCACCCGTACGCGCCCTTTCGAAGCACCAACCCATCGTCCACCTAGCCACATGGCACAAAGATTAACTCTCCACAGATAAGTCTTCGAGCAGTCAGTGGTCGTTCATGCACCACACCACTTGTGCCCTGGCATGCATCCTATTTTACTGATCTACCTTGTGCTTGAACGGGCCCAAGTCCACGACCCGCTCGAGCTTGATGTCCATCGTCTGGAGGAGAAGAGGTACGATCGAGTCACGGACATGGGGCTTGAGGAAAGCAGCTTGATGGTGGGCTGCAGAGTTGAACGTCAAGAGCGCCGCTCGACGGACGCCCATGTTTTCGTCTTGCAAGGCGTTGACGATCGGTTGTACCTAAGTTACAACTACCATGGAACCTTCTGGGGTATGGAGACAAGTCGTACGGTGAGGTGGCGCATGGGCTCGCCATCGGGGCTACACGCCATGCAGTACTTCATGCACGTCACGGCGGTCCATCGCGTCTTGACGGAAGCGTTGGCGTTGCAAAATTGGGTTACACTCGGCAAAATCAACCCAGGGTTCAACAGTGCCAGCTTTCCGAGACACTCGGCAACCATGTTGCGCACGCCTTCTTCGTCGCTTTCGCAGTGCTTATTGAGCACAGGCAAGACGGCCGACACGTATTGGTTCACGACGTCCGTGTTCTTGGTCGACAAAACTTCCTTGAGGGCACTCAAAAGAAGGTACACGTGCACGCCGCTGTCCTTGCTCAGCTCGTCCAAGATCGTGGGCAAGTACACGCTCATGTTGCCGACGCAGACGCTGCCGAGGGCAAACGCCGCAGCGTGCTTAACTTCTTCGCTCGCCTTACCCGTCTGGAAGCAGCCTAAAATGAGCGCGCGTACATCACCAAAGCTCGCGACGTTTGTGTGGCGACCAAATTCACCAAGACAAAAGAGAGCGACGTGGGTTTGGCTCACGTCGGTACCGCCAATGTCCTGAACAAACAAATCGAACGCTTTCTTTTGCGATTGAACCGGTGCTTTGGCGCAGATGGCCGCGACACATCGCGCAACGTTATGTAGCGCATGCTTGGTTGCGTCCGGGCGAGGCGTGGTGTAGAGTTCGTTGAACAGTTGGTCAAATCCGTGGACAGAGACGAGATGACCAAGGAAAGCAAACAGCGCGTCCAAGGTTTGGCCTTGGAGCAGGGCACTGGCGGCCAAGGCCAGAGCATTTGGCAACGCCTTCGTCAACAGTGCCGCGTCTTGGGCAACTGATGGGGACGCTTGTACAGTGCGAAGAACAAACGTGAGGGCGAGGGTGCTCAATTGGAGATCGCTGTCCGAGATCAACCCAGCGGCTTCGCGGACGGTGTCGCACAAGATGGGCAGGGATACCTCTGCACCCCTGCTAGTCGCAAGCGCGATCAACGTGTCGAGGGCCGTTTGCTTGAGTGTGCGAGACTGTTGACGCATCATTTGCGCCAGCGTTGTGATCACGTCGACAAGAACATTCGTCAAATCCAGTTTTAGCGGAGAACGGGCGATTATCCCAAGCGCCTTGATGGCAGCGATGCGGGTGATTTCGTTCTGCACGCGTTCTTGAATAAGCGGTAGAACGACGGGTAGTTCACTCGTTAAGTGATCTCCTACGAATTGAATTGCCGTGTAAGGTGTTGCTCACCAAGTCATCGCTCGGTCGCATGGTTTTAAATTCCAGCCACTCATGGCCCAAACTCCAGCACTTTAGCTGAAATTGCAACGTACCTAACGTGGCCAAGAGCAATCCCATGCTCGCAATTGCGTTGTCTTTGATTTCCTGGTCAATATCGTACGCTTGCAGGCGCGGCAGCAACGCATTGTACAACGGCTGAACAAAAGTGACAAGGTTCGGGGACAGAGGCGTCATCGCCGGCGACGGACGAACCACTTGGACGATGGCGCCAATAAGCTGTAGCGCCTTGGCAACGATCTTGTACCAATCTTCCTTGGCGTTCTCCGCAACCAACGGGACAATCGTAGGGAGATGCTTTTGAAAGTGCGACGCGTCGTGGGTCGTCATCAACAGGCGCAAAAACAAAATCGCGTCCAGTTTTAAACTCGAGTTGCGGTCCTGGAGTGCCTTGAACACGTTTGGCACAAGTGCATCCAAATATGGTCCCAACCGGCCTTCTTCCACATTGGCTAATTCGCGCAACATGCTGAGCACTGCACATCGCGTCGACACTGAAGTCTTTGGCCCGAGCTGTTTGTTCGCCGCTGCAATGATCGTGCCCACGCGGGAGTGCAGCTGGTCGACGCACGAACGTTGGCGAGTCAGCACGGGACGTTTGACCGATTTGTCGGTCGCGGGCTGCAGCAAGACCGTGGCGCGCAAGAGATCCGACACCACCCCAAACACGTCGATGCGGACGCTTTCTTCGCGCTCCTTGAAGCGTCCGATCAGCGTTTCGCTGTACTGGTTGTAGATCAACTCGAGCAGCTCTTGGCGGGTTCCGATGATTGCCGAGACCACGCGAAGGGCAGCACGGCGGACCTTCCAGCTGGCATCGTCGTCATCGCTGTAGTCGTTGTCGCCATCGTCGCTGTATGCGTCGTCGTCGCCACCGTCGTCATTATCCATCGTGTCATCGTCATCGTCGCCATACATGTAGTTGGGGTCGTACTTGGAAAACGCGATCGCAACTGACAATATGTCCGTCGTGTGCGGTGCGATCTCGGTGTGGCAGCGCGTGACGAACGCCTCGAGGCCCTGGAAACAGTTCTCGCGGAGTTCGTTGGCTGTGTCGTTTTGCATCGATTCGTCGTCAGGAGACCCGCAAAACGTCAAAAAGAGAGGCACGATAGTCGACAAATGGCGACCCAAACGGTGGCCGACCGTGCGGCTGAGGGTCCCGATCGTTTGGATGAGGGTGCGCACCTCCGACGAGTCGGACGACGACGCCTGTTTCACATCCGCGAGCAAATGCTCAACGAGACGATGTAGCAATGCGTCCGTCGCGACGACACCAAGCGCCCCCAAGCAAGACGTGACGCGCTTACGAACAAAGGCGCGGTCGTCGTTGAGTTCCTTCAAGAGGATGTCCATGATGGACACGTGTTCACCGGAGAAATCGTGGCCAAACCGCTTGAGCAATTCGGTGAGAATATCCAACGTGTCTGACTTGACCGATTGGTCCGAATATTGCACAATGCCGATCAAGAGCCGTCCGCAAAGTGTGGTCGAGACGGACGCGCCCGTCTTCGTGCTCACGTCCGTCAAGATGGTCTTGAGCCCGATCGAGTAAATGTCTCGCAACTCCTGCTTTCCGTTCAAGATCAAGTCGCAGAGCTTTTCACAAATGTCGCTGACTTGCTTTTCTTGCACTTTGGTCACCAAAATCCCCAAACTATCCAATTTAGTCAGAGTCATTCAGGGGAAGGAAGAGGAGTCCATACCATTTCACAGCAATCGACTGCACGTCGTTTGACTTGTCGTCGAGCTGCTTGAGCACCGCCGCGCAAATTCTACACAAGCACACATGGTATTGGAAAGGGTAGATACAAACAACCCATGTGTCGACGATGTCATCGACGAGCGTGAAATCAAGCAAATGAGGGAACACGCAAGCAAGACATTAGGGGCGTACTTGCGTTCGAGGTCGGGGCCAATTTCAACGTCTTTCTGGAGTTCGTTGCACAAATCAGAGGTCGCCATGTACCGCTCATCTTTGTCAAAATCTGTCGTCTACAGAGCAGAGGTGTGTATGTCATGCATCACATCACGCCAGTAACATGACGAAACACCAAGGACACTGTCATGTCCTGGGGACGGAGACTCCATATCCAGACCATCGCACCTTCTCCAAGAGCGCCACAAACGCGCTCGACGTGTCTTTCATGGCGTCCGAAAATGACCGAGCGGACGGAAGAAACGAAGTGGAGAGTGTTGGTCATCCCTAATTAGGTTTGAAAATAGGCACCATGACTGCGCGATCTTCGGGTTCCATCCAGTTCAACGTGCGGCACTGCTCGGACAAACTGTGCATCGCTTCCTCCGACCTCTCTCATGCACCAACCCATGTCCACATCAGCCATCTAGCATGCAGCAGCCACAGGATCGACCAATGCTGATGTGGTCACACCTGCCGGTTCTATTCGACGTCGGGTGTCGCCACATCCCCTTCACATCGGGGTGTGGCGGTCAGCACACTCGTTTGCGATCTTCCCCCATGATCGAAGCTGTCGGATGCAACCGCACCCATCTCGTTGCAAGCTCTTAAGGCGGAATGCAGCGTATACATTAAGCGGGCGTCATCATCAAGTTTTCCTGCTCGTCTTTCGTGTACAGGTCGTCGATGAAGTCGTCGTCGTTCGCGGCGAATTTTCCGTTGCTCGCATCTTCTTGGTACTCGTCCACGAACGCTTCCTACACGCGAGCCCATCACATGAGCTGCTAGTCCCAACCTAGGATTGCCATCGTACCAAAATGGACGCCACGACGAGATTCAGCAACAGCGTGACCGAGATGATGTAGTACACGATGAAGAACCACCGAGACACCTTGGACGTCACGAGGACGTGTCCTTCGGCGAGAACGAACCAGTTGTTGACAACGATCAGCTCAAACAGCGTGACGATGCCGCTCGCCATGTCGTTAAAGTTGTTTGCCATGTAGTCGTCTTGCGTGTACGCGCTCGTGTTGAAGCGCGCCGTCATGACAACGGGCGAGATGAGTCCGCCAAAGCACTGCATCCCAAGGAGCGCAAAGATATACATGGCGCAAAACATGATGACAATCAAGTTCTTGGCGAACGGGAGGAGGCGAAACCACGTCATGCAAAACACGCGGTACCTACAAGCGTGCCGGGCGTCAACGACCATGACATGTCTCGCGGCGCGACGTACTGCTCAACGTTGATAATGAGACGAAAGATCCGCAGACATCGCGCGACGAGCAGCACCTTAACGACCACGATCGACGATCGGTTGTTCTCCAGCAAGTACACATACACGTCGACGGCCAAGATGACGATTGTCACGATGCCGTCGAACCGGTTCTTCATGGACCGCCAGTACCGCGACGTCCCGAGGACCGCGACTTTGAGCACCATCTCGACCAAATACACGATCGAAAACACGAGCTCGAGCCGCTCCCACAAGTTGAACTCGAGCACGAACGACATGCGTTCCCCGTTCAGGACCGGCAACGACTCGGCCACGATCAACAGGGTGTTGACGATCAAAACCATGTCGATGGCAGACTCGAACCGTTTGTGCCGCACGAATCGGGCGATCGCCGTGAACCTCGACGACTTGTGGAAGGTTGGCCACCACCGCTCGATCTCGGACGTCTTGGGTGGTCGCTTGGTCAGGGCAATGTGCAGGAGGTCGCAGATGTGCTGGAACTCGGTCCAGCACAGCATATCGTCGCCGTTCGAGTCGAGCGTGTCGAAGAGCAGCCGCATCTTGGACCGTTTGAGGTACCCGATGTGGCGGTAATGATTCATCTGGGCAAAGAGCCGCTCCATGACGTCCCACGGAACGCCTTCATTCGTCGATGGTTCGCCGAGGAACCACTCGTCGTGGCGGTGATCCCACAGATCTTTGGCCGTAAAAGTTGCCATGGGGGTCGGTGCGCGGCGCGACGACAGCAACGGCTCTTGAGTCAGCACGATGGCCGTGCTCGAAACGTGGCAGAGCAGGTCGAACGCGAGTTGGAGCTTGGTGACGCGGGTTTTTTGCCGCGCCGCCTCCGACACTTTCAAGTTACGTGAATAGTTGTTGAAGATGACAGCGAGCACCACGTTGAGGAGGAAGAAGAGCCCAAAGCACAGGAAGAACGCGAAAAAGACGACGACGACGCGATTCTTGTCGTAGGCGGGCATCATGATGTCGGGGAAATTGGCGGCCGTGAGCAAGATCATCATGTTCCAGCACGCGTCGTAGATGTTGGGCATCTCCTTGCCACCTGACGTCGCAGTGGTCATGACTTGGTGGGGAAGACCAGCCTTGGAACATACCTTCTTCGGTGCCCTGGAACAACATGGTCGAGACCCACGCAAAAAAGACGACAAACACGACAACGAGCGATAGAATCGTGTGGACCTCGGACAAGACGAGCCCGATCTTGCGAGCTGTGCGGCGGACGTTGCGGTTCTTGACTGCAAAAATGAGCACGCGAAAATACCCACAGAGTTGCCTCGCGACCACGTCGATCCATGTGTTGGCAAAGAGGACGCGAACGACGAGAAGGAAGAGCGACGCCGTGATCATCGCCAACACGGCAACACTACAGGTCGTCAACAGCGGCCGCACGAGCGAGATGGATGAACGGAAGAGGGAGGTCGGCCGACGCACCTGTCCTTGCGGCTCGTAAAGTTCTCTCGCAGGTAGAGGTACCGCACGAATTTGTTGAAGAGGAGAACGGTCAGGCACGAGGCTTCAATGCACACGCTTTGAAAGTCCGTGATCCATGCCATGTTAAACGAGAGTGGCGTAGCGGGGTCGGCGGGGTCACCACATGGCATGTCGCCGCTCGAGTGTGGACACCACGGCGGAATTTCAAAGAACGACAACGCCAAGAGAATGACCACGGCCAGACCCCGCAGGTAGTGCATGTCGGCGTACAGCGTGTACATGCGACTGGCGAACGCCGTGCGCACCGGGTGTGGTCTCGAGATACCGAGGAAGGCGTCCTCGACGAACCAGCTGGCTGTGATCAACAGATCGTTGTCGGTCGACGATGGGCCAGCCATCAACGGCGTGTCTTCCGTCACCATTGGCTTGAATGGAAAATGCCGTGACGACGGCCGTGGCAGCCCTTTCAGGAACGACGAGCTCCTCTGCATCGCCCCCCTCTCCTGGCTGCTCAGATTTGTGAAATAGCGACGCGTGCTCCGGGGCGCGTGTACTGTAATTGCCTTGGCGCACCGGGGCGCAGTCCAAATCTCGCACCAGCCTGTTTTTCCTGGAAGATTGCGCTCGTGCGTCGAGGACGTGCCGTCGGCGCACTGCCGGCATCACGTGGAGGAAACCAACCTGATCGTCCTGGGTGAATCGGTGGCAGTCCGTCTTCCGGCGAGATCCATACGACGGCTTGGCCATCATTTCGTGGCAGCCGTTCCGGTGGCGAACCCGACAACTTTGAATGCTGTACGTGACAATTCCATTACGACTGCATTGCATGAACATGAGATTTCTTGGTCCGCGAAATCCCTGCCGCAAGCACCGCACCGGAAGTGCAGGGGAGTTGCTGGCCGTGATCGCTGGCCTCCATTCAACCCATGGATATGTCGAATCGATTCCGACTTCCACAATGGCACGAGGTTGCTGACGCTGCGACGAGGCCTGTTATTGCGTTATGAAGCTGAATCGAACGGGTAGTTTCTAGTGCGGTGTGCCCGTGTCGACCGAGGGACAGCGACGTGATTGGCAAAGGTGAACCAAGGACATCCCACGCACGGAAAGCGTAATCCCCAGCTTGTCTGTGGCTGGCTTGGTGGAGCACGGATGCAGCGACGTTGTTGGATGCGACGTTCAATCTGTTGGCCATTTGGGCAGCCGTCGACACAAACATCGATTTTTGCACTCTAGTCACCAACACCTATGAATGCATTCCTCCGTGCTCGTCGTCAGTACCATCCAGTCGCCGGTGCAAAAGCCAAGTCGTTGGTTCATCTTGAACCTGAGATGGTGAGAATCCTGTGGTTCCTAGTCCAGTCGAGTCTAATGCGCGCGGAACTGTCATCGTAATCGCACTTGAAGCTGAAGGGGACATGGTGACGTCCAGCACTTACATTGACATGCACTTCAAAAAACTGGCGGATTTCGCAGAGGTAGAATACAAACATCAAGAGAGAAGTACGACTGGCGTACCAACATTACAGTGCGCGAAATCCTCATGTGCGCACATGGAAACCTTCCATTCATTGGGAATCACGTCATATATAAAATGCACCAAGACCATAAATCATTGTATTAGTCAGAACACCCGGTTCTGCCGAGAATATCCCCTCTGCCCTGTCCGTCAGGTCCTGCAACGGTAGTGTTTTTTGTGCCTTCTAGCTGCTTTTTTCTCATGTAGCAGTCAGTTCCAGCGAAGGCCACGTCGTTAGGATGTCTTGCACTTATTGGCCAGTTGGCCTCTACTGGCGGATGGGCTACCATCGGTTCGATTGCCTATTTCAACTGTATTCACTGAGGCCCTGGTGTCGGAAGCGTTCATGTCCATGCACATTCATGTCCAGACTTTTGATTGGTTAATTATCCGGTCATCCGGACTCTGTTCATGCTCACTTTGGAGTGAAATGGGCGTGGACCAATTGTCCATGCCTGTTCCTGTCTTGCATCAC